AATCGTTCGAGCTGTTAAAAAGTTCAATTAAACGCACTTAAAAACTTGGGGATAAATGCTATTTTAAAGCAAATAACTGGTAGCCATGGTAGACGCCAAAGAAGTTCGCTGTATTGTACCAATCGTGTGACTACAAAGAAAACTGTCGTTTCAATTTTTTTCAATTTTGTACCAATAGCCCCAAAATAAAAAATGTACAAATGTACCAATCGTGTGACACTGCCTTAAAAGCCTCAAAGAATCGAGATGGACATATGAATACATGCGCAGGTGAAAAGAGAAATCGATTAGGCCATGTCAGACAGTGAAGCTAACTGACTGAAAATACCAAGATTTTCATTTGTAGAACATTGTAAAATCGTTATTTTGGATTTTTCATAATTTTTAACCATTATAATGGAGACTGCGTTTTTATGGCCGTTTTAAATCTTTTATGATCTAAAAAATTAAATCTGAAAAAAATTATGGAAAGAATTAACTTTATCGAAAAAATAAAAAGCACCCCTGCTTATCATGTAAAGGTAGTTAGTTCGGCACTAAAGAGGTTGTGCAAACGCCGCCATTTTGAAAACAAGAGTTATAGGGGTTTTTTTAAGGCAGTCTCAATAATCAACTGTTCCCCCTATATTTCTACCAAATACTTTTTAACTCTTGTAACAATATCGACAAGGGGTTCAAAATTATGAGTTTAAAGTACAAGAGACAGTATTAATAATAACACCTACCTTAAAAGATCTTAAAATGGAAAAATCCTTTAAAACTGCGTTGACAGCTGAAATGAAATAAAAAAATTTTGATTCAACTCTGAATTAAATTCATCAACAATGGAATTATTCAAGTTCATGCCAATACGAAATTAATATAGTACACCGTACTTAAAGCTATTTAAAATTTGCCCCTTATTATACTGAAATTGAGTGAACTACAAAACTGCATGGTCAAAATAATTCTAAAAACTGTTGCTTAAAAATTAAACATTTTGGTGAAAATTTGTCGAATTTTCCCAAATTTTTTAAAATTTTTAAACATTAATTTACATGCCTTTTGAAGCAGTATGAGCTATATTTCTATTAAAAAATAACGAAAAATTTTATTGCGAAAAGCATTGCAAATATTAAAAAAAAAACACTTTCTCGAAATAAAAAGCCGTATGCATAAAACCTAAGTAAATGCTTTTTCTTAAAATTTCAGACCTTTTACTCAAATAAATTTAAGTGTTCAAATAAATTTAAGTGAAAGTTATGCAATTTTAAGTAAAAGCGATTGATTATTTTTTATGCATACGGCTCAATGTTGCATTTATTCTGCCCTACGCCAGGGCTGTTAAGTTTTCGTGTTCTTTTCTCAGCATCTTCTCAGATAAGGTTGGCTCATAAGAAGGTGACATTTTTTCCGAGAAAAGAAAACGCCATTATTCATTCATTCATTTTGTTTTAATGCTTTCGCTATGCTATATCTCGATAACTACTCCAAATTGCTTGTGAGAATGTCGGTACCCCAGACTGTGTCGAGAATTACTCGATTTTCCGGGTATCGAAATGCTCGAGAATGTGCGAGAAGAAATCGAAAGCCCTAGTATGTATGTATAATATTTGAAAATATTCCAAATATTACCAAAACCCAGATAATTTCGACAATTAGTTTTTTTTTATACAAGTTCATGAACTGTATATGGTCGTACCCAAAGAAGCGATGAGGGTTAAGTGACATTTTGACCAGTTTTGGTTTATTTAATGTTTATAGTTTGTTTTATAAACATCTAGCACATTACATAACCAGCACCATATAAATCCACTTTTCAAGCTTCGTACAAAAATTTTAAAAATTAAACAAACTTTAACAATTACACCCAAAACTTTTCTGAAACTTTTTATTAATAACTTTTAGAAAAATTCTGGGTATGCAGTTTTATAGCCTATTAAATTTAAGTAGGTAAAAATTAAAATTTCAAGACGCTAGGAAATCGCGTTGATTTTAATAATTTTTTTGGCTGACGGTACTAGGCATTTTCTTCCATGTAAAATGAATGAAAAAACGAATGAAAATAAAAAAACTTAACCTCTTTTTGGCTTTTTATATTTTTTAATAAATAGTCTTCAATATGGACCACACAAAAAGCTCCTTTTCATATAAAAATTCGTACGTGTCCCACCCGTCACAGAGGAATTTCGGAGTTTTTTATAATAAAGCAATAATTTTTGTGTAAGTTTTTGCTTTACTAGTATTCGTGGTTCTTTTTTTATTTCAGCACATCAAGTTCACACAGAAAAGTGAAATAAATTCGCAGTTTCCGTGAAATATATCTGCGCAAGCAGGTTCTTTTCTTGTCCCATCCGTGACAGAAGAAATAACTCCGATTTTTTCTGATATAAAATTTAGTTGGAATTTTTTTCGTATTTGGTAATAACTCATATAATAGTGATTTAGGTGCAGCTTTATAAAAATGTAGAATTGTTGAGTACTTTATACTTAAATTTACTGTACAAATGTCCCACCCGTGACGGTGGAATACCCCATAGGTAATTTATTAAAAATGCAAGGCTACTTTTATAAACAGTAAAATGGAGTTATAATTTATATAACCGACACCGAAAATATTTATGCATAAGCAAATTACCTAAAATCAATTATTTCGCCTGATGAGTGTCCTTTTTGTATATGCAGCATCCTTTCAACGTATCCTGCATGCGAACTCTACTGAATTTGATTTTGAACATCTGAGAATTTAGGCGCGTTTACTTTATCAAACGTACAGATGCAGATATTTTACGAGCGCGCGTTTATGAAAATATTTGTTAGTGGCCAAATAAGTTTATAGCTTTTTCTGGAATTAATACAACCAAGATGTTTGCTGGCTTTGGTATTTAGTAAGCGAGTTTAAATTTCTTGAGAGACTGAAAATGTCGGTGATTAAAAAAAAATAAAAATAAAAAAATTACAGAATGAATTTGTATTAAAACGATTTCAATATGCATTTGATTCTCTACTGACGTAAGTACTATTTTAATTGCTATATAAGTACCTACATAAATCAATTTAGTTTAAAGAATAATTGAAATACATATAAGCAGATCATAGAAAAAAATTATACGAACTAAGAATGTGTTTAGCATATGTGAACATGTTGTAGGTATTCCGAACATACTAAAATAAAACACATACATATGTAAATATTGGCGTACAGACTAAATACGTAATTAATAAAGTAATTCTAGCGATATCTTCAAGTATATTCATTTTTTTTGTCCATTTTTTTAGTAGTCTGCTTGAGTTTCATGATCAAAATGCACATTCATACGTACAGCAATACATATTTATGTTTTTATGTACTTACGACTGGCATATGTATGCATAACGGGAGCGATGCGCACGTGTCCGACGACAGCGCTGGAAGTGGTCCTTGAACTCGAGCCCCTGTACATAACTATAGAATTGGCGGCCAAAAGAACTCTGCTCAATTTCACTAGAGAGGGTCATGGAAGAGGTAAGGTCATTTCCTCTAGGAACATGGCGAAGCTAGGGTCCTCGCTCCCGCTAGCCCTGCTTCCCAGGGATGACATTTTTAGAACCATAAGGTTTGAAAAGAGGTTCAAAATTGAGTTAAGCAGTAAGACAACCTGGAGTGCCTCCTCCTTTGAGAGGACTGGGGTTACGACCGGTTCTGCAACGTCTCCAGTGAAACGCCACTCCACATCCTCATTGAGTGTGATGCAGTCAGCAAAAGACGTGAGAGGAGTTTAGGCTCCATGTGGCCACAGTTAGAGCACATTCACTCCTTATCCCCAAAGAAGCTGTGGGACTTCCTGGGTATCTTGGCTTGGAGGAAGTATTGTGAAGAGTGGAGGGCACAATAGATCATTAGGTCGCAGCGCATACCTCATAAATTATCTATCTATCTATCGACTTAATATAGCAAGGCCATAACTTATTTATTTTGAAATCCACATTTGTAGAAAAGTCGGCAGGTTATTCACTGACCATCTAATAGAATATAAAAATCGCATTATTATAATACATACAGCCTTAATTAAAAAACAGTATTCGAATAGAATTTGCAACTAGAGAACTTTACTTTTTAATAAATTTAAAAAATTACTTTACGAAGAAATAAAAATGTTAGATAGTGCATTTCTATATTAAGCTAACGATATGTATGTAGGTACGTGCACATGTGTGCGCATGCATAATTGGCTGCACATTTAAATTTTTTTATTTAAAATAATTTTTTAGTCAGCAACAATCCCGTTAACTAACATTCATCCCTAACATAATTAAAATCGTACTCATGCATAGGAATTAAATACACTTCCGGAACAAAGTATTGGCACAGCAAATTTTTCTCAATATATGCAACCATTTTTATTCTAATATTGTTCCGCCAATTTTGTATAAAAATATGGTTCACTCAAACAAAAAAAATAATTCCCAAGCTTTGTGCCAAACTCGCGAAAATTCAGCAAATTTTCATCAAAATTTTCAACTTTTTAATCAGATTTTTTAGAATTTTTTTGAGTATGAAGTTTTGCAACGCATTAAATTTTAGTAAAATATGCAATTTCGGAGTTAGCAAAAAATCGCGTTGATTTTTGAGATTTTTTTTTTTGTTGAAGGTGTTTTGCATTTTTTCCATATAAAGTATTTTCGAAAAAAAAAATTTATGGAAGAGACTACACGAAAAAAGTTGCCAAAAATCAACGGTAATTCCTAGCACTTTATTATAATAAAATTGATTGGCCTACAAACCTGAATTCTCAAAAAAATTCTAAATATCTGATTGAAAAGTTGAAAATTTTCATGAAAATTTGCTGAATTTTCGCGAGTATATTTTAATGTTTTTTGTTGTAGAATGAACCATATTTTTATACGAAATTAGCCGAAAAATATTAGAATAAAAATTGTTGCAGATATTGAGAAAAAATTGCTGTGCCAATACTTTGTTCCGGCAGTGTACATACAAAAAATAAAAAATAAAAAACTGAATTCTTTTCTCTCCCCCATAGCAGAGAATGACGAAATGGGCTGCGTTGAAATAATCGCAACAGCGATTTCCATCATTGTTATGGTACTCACCTTTCCCATCTCCGTATTTGTGTGCTTCAAAGTTGTCTCTGAATATGAGCGTGCCGTAATCTTTCGCATGGGTCGGCTACGCAGTGGTGGCGCTCGTGGTCCTGGCGTCTTCTTCGTGCTACCCTGCGTAGATGAATATTGCAAAGTGGATCTTCGTACAGTTTCGTTTGATGTGCCACCACAAGAAGTGTTATCCAAGGATTCGGTTACTGTGACTGTAGATGCAGTGGTTTATTATCGCATCAGCGATCCTCTCAAAGCTGTAATACAAGTGTCCAATTATAGCCACTCAACGCGTTTGCTAGCTGCCACAACACTGCGCAATGTCCTAGGTACTCGAAATTTGTCCGAACTGTTGACGGAGCGCGAAACTATTTCGCATACAATGCAAGTTTCGCTAGATGAAGCAACCGATCCATGGGGAGTGAAAGTCGAACGTGTAGAAATGTAATTTTTTGTGGTTAGCTCTAGAGTTCGAAATTACATACATACGTTTTTTTTTTTTTGTATATTTTTTTCCTTCAGCAAGGACGTATCTCTACCAACCGCTTTACAGCGCGCCATGGCAGCCGAAGCCGAGGCAGCTCGGGAGGCGCGCGCAAAAGTGATCGCGGCTGAAGGTGAAATGAAGTCATCGCGGGCATTGAAGGAAGCTTCAGAGATTATTTCTGCGAGCCCATCAGCATTACAGGTAAGTAGAGAATAGGATGCTTTATAGTGTTTTAAAACAGCTTTGGTTCCGTATTCTGGAAATAAAGCCTAGCCTACGCCCTCATCTGAACCAACGATTACTTTGTGATTGGACGGTTCTAGTCCCGATTGACCTGTCGAAGGTATGCTGCCCGGAGTTAATTTAAACGGTCTTTCCAATCGTCACTGCCAGAAACATCCGCAGTTTTACTGTGGGCCGGGGTTAGGCTAGAACTTGGCCTGTATGTTGACTTCGCAAAAATACCGAGCGTGAATCCTTCCAAGTTATTGGGAGTCACGTTCGATAGCCTTTTCTCCTTCTCGGCGCATACCACCGCCGCATGAAATAAAAAGACCCTGGGCCTGTTAGTGAAATAACTGTTATCAGACAACATAAAAATAAACGTTGGGTAATAACTGTTATCAAGCAACGTAAAAAATAAACGTTGGGAAATAACTCTTATTGGTGACGGAAAACATATTAGGGGTATTCTCTGAGTCTTGCAAAGCCCTTGCACGGTGCACGGATTGCACGGTTTGCAAAGCTGTCCCATACGAAAACCGGTTTTAACCGTGCAATCCGTGCAATCTGTGCACCATGCAAGACTCAGAGAATACCCCTATTCCTCCTGCATAACAGTTATCAGGCAACGTAAAAAGTAAACGTTGGGTTGTTGTTGTTGTAGCGGCTACAACAATCCCGCCCAGGACGGTTGGTATCTCAGTCGTTGACGTCAAGTTCCACTAACGGCAGCCCTAGGAAGCGTGCAGCGTCTGTAGGGTTGGTCCACAGGGACAAAGCCGTTAGGGTTGTCGGGTTTTCCGGGCACTCCGGCCGGACACTCATTTGGCACATCCTCATTCAATCTACTCAGGTAGGAGTTTAACCTGCTGCAGTAGCCAGAACGAAGTTGGGTTATATATAACTCTTATCGGCGAAGTAAAAAATATTTCTCATCTTATAACTGTTGTGCAACAACGTTTTTCCGATAAAACTTATAACTGTTATGCCCCTGATAAAACGTGCTTATGAAATAAATTTCTTTTTTACTTTTCGTCAATTTCTCAAGTAGCACTGCCACCTCAACAAATTATTGTTTTGGAAATTTTAATATTTTTTAAGGAATTGTTTTACACATTAAAAATAATAATACGAAAGGTAAATTTACTTATTTCATCGTATTAGCAGAGCAGTTAATAAGTGTGTATTGATTTAAATACCTTAAATTACCTTACTGCAAAAAAATTAGCATTACATGAAATATTATTATATCTGGTCTTTTAAGAAATTTAGTATTAGGTTGTTGCTTTAATTTGGATCCTCTTTAGTGGACATATGAAGTCATGAAGAGGGAGGTAAAAAAAATTCCTAGTTGCTAGAGCTCCTTGTTATAGTTTATAGACAGATAAACTACTCGCTCTACTGCTGCCGTTGCTGCGTTTCGCTTAGATTGAGCACATCCGTCACGAGGCTTAAAATTTTCTGTCGAAAAGTGGTTGAAACAAACAAACATTTTGGTGAAGTTTCCATGCTCGGGCCATCCCGAAATATGTAGATAATCGTACTAAAATATGATGAAAATAATTGCATAAACAAATACATATGTAGATTCTCTATGTGCATTACACAATAGGGGTGGGTCTTCATGTAAAGTTATATAGAGATTAATTGCTTAAGTCTATCTGTTTATCTGCATTCTTTCATGAACGCACCTCGGTAAAAATTGCATAAAATTGTTTATATTTAACTTATATTATGAATAGTTACGTTTCATTCTTACCTTGTCCAGTGTGTTCATTTGCTTTTTATTAGTCTGTTCCAATAGCAGTCCGGTTTACAAGATTTAGTCAGAACTTACAGGAAGTCGTTCCTATTGACATAAAACCTGTAAGTGGGAACACATTTGAGAGAGTAACTGGGCAACTGTTCCTAGTCAGAAGTTACAGGATTTAGTCCGGAGTTTTTTTTCCTGTAAGTTCATGAAAAGTGTCAAACGATCAGCTGATTTACATGTGCAAACAAAAACAGAAAGCGGTGAAAGCAAAGAACCTTATATTTGTTAAAAAATGGAAGTAAACAACGAAATATTTGAATATGTATAGATTTTAATAATTATTTAGTGATATTTCAGCCAAATCAGTGTAGTACCAATGACATGTAAACAAACCGTCTGACGTCTTTACAGGAAATAATTAGTCTGTTCCAATAGCAGTCCGGTTTACAGGATTTAGTCAGAACTTACAGGAAGTCGTTCCTATTGACATAAAACCTGTAAGTGGGAACACATTTGAGAGAGCAACTGAGCAACTGTTCCTAGTCAGAAGTTACAGGATTTAGTCCGGAGTTTCTTTTCCTGTAAGTTCATCAAAAGTGTCAAACGATCAGCTGATTTGCATGTGCAAGCAAAAACTAACAGGGGTGAAAGCAAAGTACCTTATATTTGTAAAAAAATGGAAGTAAACAACGAAATGTTTGAATATGTATAGATTTTAATAATTATTTAGTGATATTTCAGCTAAATCAGTGTTGTACAAATGACATGTAAACAAACCGACTGACGTTTTTACAGGAAATAGTGCTTTTTTGCGTTCCTATGCACTTCTGCATCTGTTCTCCTTTTACTCTCATTTGAGAGCGTAAAATTGTAGTTTGACAGTTCCACAGGTTTTAGTCCGAAGTTCAAAGGAACAGACTATATGTTTTCGTAGCAAGAGCGACCACCTGGCAACCTGTCAGGGTTGAATTTTGCTGATATTTATACATTTATCCACCAAAATCATTTGATAAAGTGATAACTTTGGTTAAATAGATGTCCGTACAAAGCTTGACAGTTCAAAATAAGAAAAAATTTACCTTTTACCAACCCAAAATTTACCCTGGGATTCAGTAATTCAGTGTCATCTCAAGTCAGTAAATTTGAGATTAGCAATTAGTGACTATTTTTGTGACTTGAGATGATTTGGCTATTCAGTAGGAGTCACAAAAAGTTCACCAAAAATGTGTGGTGAAAACAAACACACAGTCAACTGATAGCGTTTACGTGTGCCTTTTGCTGCGCCGCCCGAAGAGTCGCAATGGCCGAATGGTCAAAGCATTAGGCTGCCGGTCGAGAGGGTCCGGGTTCGAGTACTCCTCGGGCGTAGAGGATTATTTATTTTTATTTTTTGTATTTTTTCTTTTTTTTATTAGTTTTATTTTTTTTAATAATCTTTAGATTTTGATGTTAAAAAAAAAAAAAATTTCAATGGATTTGTATGATATTAAAGCATTTTGGTTTATTTCCTAATGAAATTCTTGTTAAACAAATTTCCTCGCTTCATTTTCGCGTTTTCTTTAATAAAATGGAAAGAAATAAGCTTTCCCTCCATACTTCTATTTTTGTGACCGGCTCTTAGACAGCTGACAAATTAGTGACTTATTTTTGAGACTAGAGACGTGAGACAGCGTACTGAATACCAAATAGTCCCAAAATCCAAGTTCACCACCAAAAGTCACTATTAGTGACTAGAGACAGCTTACTGAATGCCAGGGTTATTCTACCAATTTTGGTAACAATTCAAAGTGGCAACACTGGCTCGATTGCTTCGTATATGTGCTGTGTTTCCGTGAGCAATGATCGGGATACGGCTGGGTGCTATTTCAGTATTGAATTCCTTTTATCTCCGCATCCTCTGTTTCGCATTCAGGTATTTAGCACCTTGCTGTGCGAAATCACTTTATTTTTTGTAATGATTGTAGATTGAAAAAATATAAGCCCCACTTCCAAATAAAACAAAACAGAATGAAATCAACTTGTGGATATTTCTTGATTTAAAAATTTAAATGATTTCACAGCATAGTTCCGCTGAGTTTCGATTCATAAAATCTAGTTCTGTGAAGTGTTGGCTATAATTTAAAATAAACTCTTTTTACGCGCTTTTGCGACACCCCTAAAATTATTTCCACATTTTTTGAAACCTCCAAGTAACAAGTTTAGAACGAATTCAATAAATTTTTAAAAATTTGTCCGCCATATTGGATTTTTGAAGCCTCACTGAATATTTGTAATCAGTGGCCCCATAAACTAGTAGATACGAAGTGGGGTACTAACTCATAAACGCCAATCTATTAAAATAGTTTTGTCCAGCTAGATTCTCTATTCAGACCACTGTGCAACGCTCTGCTTCTGCATGAGCCGCCACAGACTGGAGAGCGGACATAGTACGGTATGTAGACGTTGGAGCTGCTTGAGGCACGTAATAAAAGCGGCAATACTGCAATAATATGCATCAGGCCAAAGCATCAGGCTCTTTTTTCTAAACTATAATAGATGGAAAGACCTAATTTGCGCAACTAAGTTCCAATTCGGCATTTGATCATGGTTGCGCGTATTGGACATTTCCATCAATTATAGTTTAGAAAAAAACAAGAGACTG